CACTAAGAAAAAGCAATTGACACAGGTTTCTACATCACCAAAACTGATAATTCAAGTTACTATATGCAGATTTTTGACCCAGCAGATTTTGTCACAATTCCAGAGGATGTATAATTTTTCAATAAAATATGCTAAATGCATAATTGTTCTTTATAACAAAGATGTATGTCTTTTAATCATTCCAGTATAGAAAAGAGAGTTGTGGAAGTCACTGAAAACTCAAAACTGCCATGAGTTACATGACCTTTACAAGTGTATATAAATTTTTTTTCACAAATATACATGACGAAGTCGATGTTGCTGATGGTGATGTATGAGATAACCAGATTGCTACGTACTCGAAGAAGACAGGGCAGAAAGAAACTGTGCTTGTTGTTGTTGCTTGCTCAGACGGAGTCCAAAGGTATCTTTGGATTGTTGGGTTCTCTGTTTAAATTTGTGAGGTCTACACCTTATACACACATGGACAAAATTGTTGGTACCCCTCGGTTAATGAAAGAAACCACAATGGTCACAAAAATAACTTGAATCTGACAAAAGTAATAATAAATAAAAATTCTATGAAAATGAACCAATGAAAATCAGACATTGCTTTTGAACCGTGGTTGAACAGAATTATTAAAAAAATAAACTCATGAAACATGCCTGGACAAAAATGATGGTACCCTTAACTTAATATTTTGTTGCACAATCTTTTGAGGCAATCACTGCAATCAAACGACTTCTATAACTGTCAACGAGACTTCTGCACCTTTCAGCAGGTATTTTGGCCTTCTCCTCATGAGAAGACTGCTCCAGTTGTCTCAGGTTTGAAGGGTGCCATCTCCAGATGGCATGTTTCAGCTCCTTCCACAGATGTTCAATAGGATGTAGATCAGGGCTCAAAGGCCACTTCAGAATAGTCCAATGTTTTCCTCTTAGCCCTTATTGAGTGTTTTTAGTTGTGTGTTTTGGGTCATTATCCTGTTGCAAGACTGAGACCAAGCTTTCTGACACTGGGCAGCACATTTCTCTCTAGAATACCTTGATAGTCTTGAGATTTCACTGTACCCTACACAGATTCAAGACACCCTGTGCCAGATGCAGCAAAGCAGTCTCAGAACAGAACAGAGCCTCCTCCATGTTTCACAGTAGGGACAGTGGTCTTTTCTTGATATGCTTCATTTTTGCATCTGTGAACATAGAGCTGATGTGTCTTACCAAAAAGTTCCAGTTTTTCTGAATAATATGAAAGCCCACGTTATTGTATGTTGTTGTCTTTTCTTAGTTATGTGGCATTCATTAAGTGTCATTCGGTAATTCTTTGTTTGCATTGTAATTTGTATTTTTCCCACGTTATTGAATGCATGTTGCACAGTTGTACTGACGCTCCTTGAATGCACCTCACCCGTAGCGAGACGCGATGCTTGTTTGAGTCCATCCACCTGTTTCCTTGAGTTATTGCTTTGTGTAAATGCCAAAAGGTGAGTTTGATGATGTTATGTTATATACTAAGCATCAGACTGGATATTTGTTAATTTCATGTCTAAGATGGACTAAGTGCTATGTGATCCACTATGCCAGTACGCTACGTTATGTTGATTATAAGCCTTGCGATCGCGGGAGTTGGTGCATCTGGCTAGCTAATACAGTTCTTTCTTGTAATATTTGTTGCACAACTATGTCTTTATGTTGAAGTATTTGCTTGTGCTCGTGGTATTAATAGCTTTTATTTGTTTGTATTCTTATTACAGACCGCAGCTGAATAAATCAATCAAATCTGAACCAGGAGTCCATTTCCGTTTTCTCTAACCGGGACACACACATCCATACTTTACCGCTCTAAACCACCTAGTTTCCAGGAGAACTCACATTCTCCGTTTTATGGTCCTTCGAGCCGGATTACAGCACCAATTAAGGTATGGAACACACAGATATGGACTCCCAGGTTGAATCTGCACCCCAACGCACGTCACACATTGAGCGGATGCACATATCATGGAGGAGCTCCAGTTCTAGATCCACGCGTTCAATACGCTCATCCATTGGCAGATTCCCCTCTAATGTTCTCTCAGAGCTAGAAAGAGCTAAGCTCGAAGAACGACTGAAGCAGATGGAGCTCGAGGAGTTGCAGCAGCAGCTGGAAGAGGAGCAACAAGCCGAACTCGAATGTGAACGACTCCAAGCCCAAGTCAGAGAGGCCCAACAGCTACAAGAGCAAGCCCTCAGAGCCCGAGAATCACTAACCAGACAGCTGGAACGACGACGATGACTAAAGAGGAGAGAGAATGAGCTGGAGATGGCCAAAATGGTCACTTCTCTCCTTAAAGATAAACCACAGGAACCCAATGGCGATAGAGCCTCCGG